TATACTTGATAACTTATGGACCCCAGTCCCAATAACTTTGGTACGGGGGTGGGGGTGGGGGGTGGTGATAACTTTTTGACTGAGGAAAATTGTTCAAAACATAACCCCACTAAGTTATGTGTAAATAGCACTGTAATACGCAACACATACCTGATAAGTTATGGACAAACACCGTGGTAACTTTTGACCTAGTGAATAAAAGTTGTTGAAACATACATATGTTAAGTTCTTTGTAAGTAGCGTGGTAAGTTACATATTGTAGACCTGCTAAATTAGGTACAAACACTGTGATAATTTTGAACCGGAAGAAAAAAGTCGTTGACAAAATACCCTCGGTAACATAAGTGTAAATAGCATGGTAAATTATACAGCACGGAGCTGATAACTCATGTATGAATACCATGGAACCTTTTTGACCCTCAGAAAAAAGTTGTTAAAAATATCCCGGTAAGATTTGCGTAACTAGCATGGTTTTTTAGCGCATGACAGACCTGATAACTTATGCGCAAACCCCCTGATAATTCTGATTCGGAGATTTTTCTTATTAAAAATATACCCCTATAATATGATAATTTACACGCCACACACATGATAACTTACGTATGAACACCCCGGTAACTTTTGTTTCTGTTAAAATAAGTGTAGAAACACACCCCGAATAAATTCTAGGTAACTAGTATAACATGAGGGGCATGGAGACACCATATATCCATCTGTGAAAATTGTGCAGTACATAAATCCAAGGAAAAAAACTGAAAAAGCATGTTTTCTATACTATACCCAGAAAACAAATGTCTCAATCTGATGACTAGCTTAATCTAGACCGAGTGGTTGCTAGCTACCGCAGGCTATCAAGAGGTAGCGGGTTTGAATCCTGCTTCTGCCAATTTTTTTATTGCGCTAGAAAAAAAAAGACGCGGATGTAGCGCCAGGGGAACTTCGGAGAGAAGTGGATCATACGGACCTGTCGTTAGCACAGTCAAAAAGAACAAGCCCACTAGCCAGGCTGCGCCAGCCCGTCCGATCCTCTAAAAAAACTTGTTTTCCTCCCCCTAAAAAAAACTTGTTTTCCTCATTTTACCCTAGAAAAAACTTGTTTTCCTCATTTTCGAGGACTCAACCAGTGCCGTATGCGTCCCGCTCCCGGGGTCGAACCGGACGGCCATCCATAATAATCCGACCGAGCCAGCCAGCCGGCCTCCTCCTCACCGTCCGCCCCCTCCTCGCGGCGCCGCGAAACCCTAGCCCGCCCCCACCATGGACGGCTCCGCCTCCAAGGGCAAGCGCAAGCGCGGCCGCAAGAGCAAGGCGGCAGCGGACCACCCCTCGCCGTCCCCCGATGCCCCCGCCGCCGTGGTCGCCGAGAACCCCGCCCCCGCCGCCGCCGGCCGCCGCGGGCGCAAGCCGCGACGCGTCGAGGTCGAGGCCCCGGCCGCCGCGGACGCCTCCACGCCCCAGCGCGGGGACGCGAAGCACCTGGCGAACGGTGGGGACGCGGCGATGGCGGAGCTGGGCCCCGCGGGCTGGGAGGAGGTCGTCAGGGTGGTGCCGTCCATGGACGCGGTCGTCAAGGTGTTCTGCGTGCACACCGAGCCCAACTTCTCGCTGCCGTGGCAGCGGAAGCGGCAGTACAGCTCCAGCAGCAGCGGCTTCATCATCGGCGGCCGGCGCGTCCTCACCAACGCCCACTCTGTCGAGCACTTCACCCAGGTCAAGCTTAAGAAGCGCGGGTCCGACACCAAGTACCTCGCCACCGTCCTCGCCATAGGCACCGAGTGCGACATTGGTGCGCACGCTCTCCCTTTCTCTAGCACCGCCTTCTTCCTTTGTTTCTTGTATTTAAGCTTAACTGTATCACATAGCTTGTCCAGTATATATGTGAAGTCAGATCATTGCGCATACTTCTCCAATGCACCCCCACCACCTCCCCCGATTACTACGATAGCATGGCACAGGTAGTGTTGGAAGTTGGGAACTTCAGCATGTTGGTGCTTCCTTTGAACTTTCATGTTGTGGAGTAGTTGTATTAATTATCGTGTGAGAGTGAGACCTGACATTAGATGCGACCACAATTGGCGGCAAAATTGTTTCTTATGGACTCAAATTTAAGGTATTGAAAATATGTTCTGTTAAAATTTAAAACAAACTTCTATGTTTGCTCAATTGTTTTGTCTTAGCATCAGCTCTTGAAAATATCACAATGTGAAATCTTTTAACTTTTAAATGTCAATGCAGCAGAAATTTTATGTTTGCTTATTTCGGTATTCTAGCTCGGGGAATAGATTACATATTTAAGTGCTCAGACCTGATAGGTGTAGATTTTCTTGTCGATATCTTACACGGGCTAACTTGAACTGTTCTATCCATCTCAGCCTTGTTAACTGTCAGTGATGATGAGTTCTGGGAGGGAGTTACACCAGTTGAGTTTGGGTCGTTGCCAGCACTTCAGGATGCAGTCACTGTTGTTGGTTATCCAATTGGAGGAGATACAATATCAGTGACAAGTGGTGTGGTCTCTAGGATAGAGATACTGTCCTATGTGCATGGTTCTACCGAACTTTTAGGGTTGCAGGTATGTTTTCTTCCCATTTCTTCTCTTCCCTTCATTTGACTTGTATGATAGCTAGATTCGAACATAACCTTTTGAGGAATCATAATTTATTTGTTAACCTATTATTAATACCTTTTAAATTTGGACCTTTTTCCTGTGGACAGATAGATGCAGCTATTAATTCAGGAAATTCAGGTGGCCCAGCTTTTAATGATAGGGGCATATGTGTTGGCATAGCTTTTCAGTCTCTCAAACATGAAGATGTAGAGAATATAGGTTATGTGATACCCACCCCAGTTATCAAGCATTTTATTCAAGACTATGAAAAATCTGGAGCATATACAGGTAAACAGTCATATTCCATAATTGTATGAAGATACATTTGATTATCTTGTTATGATCAATGTTTTCATTTTATATTGCTAGTCTTGAATACTCTGAACTTTGTTATGACATTCTTTTGAACCATTTAGCTGGTTTATTTGAACTTGCCGGATGATTTTATAGGCATAGTTTTTACTTGGCAACGATCTGACCGGTCCCTATGACTTTGCAAGTGTTTAATTTGTATTACCATTTGGTCTCGTAAGAGTGTTTCTCACTTTCTCTCCTCTTATTTCATGTCCAGTGGTCGGATGATTGATATTGCTCGTGCAATCGTATTCGTTTGGGTTGGTTATGATGACATTAATTAATGAAGTAAAACCAATATAGTGATAGAGTTTTATTCAGTGTTTTCCCTTTTCTTCGTATTGGATTCTGCAACCTGTCAATTATTTGCTTAGTCATTCTCTTTCAGTTTGTTCAGTGCATTAACCGGTATTCCGCACTTGTTTTGATTGCTGTGTCTCTTTTCCGTATTGTTTGATGTATGATGCAAATGAAGAAAATCCCATATTAAGAAAAAGTTTGTTTAATATTTGCCTTCATGTCAACCCACAGTATAATGCTTAATATATGTTGTCCATTTCTGTCTCTTTGATCTTATGCATTTGCTATGTGATTTGATTTTTAACTTTTGCGATATTATTTCAGGCTTCCCTATAATTGGGATAGAATGGCAGAAAATGGAAAATCCCGATCTCCGGAAAGCAATGGGAATGAAACCTGATCAAAAGGGTGTTCGTGTTAGGAGAGTGGAACCTACTGCTCCCGAGTCTGGATGTCTGCAACCGTCAGATATTATTCTTAGCTTTGATGGAGTTGACATTGCCAATGATGGTACAGGTTAGTGTATTGAACTTGTTAATTCAATGCCCTATATTTTGCTCTACATGGTATTATACCTGTAGGATACCAATCGCTTTAGTTAGTAGTATTTATTATCAGTTCCACGGTCTTCTATTGCTCTAGATGCCTACCACTTTTATCTCTTATTGGATTCGTTAAGTCTTTGTTATTTTGTTAATAGAAATTCTTTCTCCCTGGTGTCAAATGACGGTTCTGACTGAAATCATAATTCACATAGCTTGTAACACTACAATTTCTGATTTTTATACATGTAACATGTTTGCAGCTGGCCAACCTGATAGAGGATTTTTGTTTCCATTTGAATCTCGTAGATACATGGATGTTGTCAAATTTTCTCATGTGTTTCTAAAGATATTCTTGCGGGGTTTATATTGGCGAACTTTTCTTTCTCTGTATTAACTCTCTAGCATCTTAATTAAACTTAATTCCTGAGCAAATCAAACATTCTCACTTAAAACAAGATCACTTATTTTTATTTACTTACCCCCTTTTTTTGTCAATAGTTCCTTTCAGGCATGGCGAGCGAATTGGCTTTAGTTACCTTGTTTCTCAGAAATATACCGGTGACAAAGCCCTTATCAAAGTCCTGCGCAACTCAAAAGTTCATGAATTTAAAATAAAGCTAGCGACCCACAAGCGGCTCATTGCAGCTCATGTCAAGGGCAGGCCACCATCATATTACATTGTTGCTGGCTTTGTTTTTGCAGCTGTCTCTGTTCCATATCTCCGTTCTGAGGTTTGTATCTATCTTCTTTTTGCATCCTGTTCCCTATGCATTGAATATAACCAACAAGCAAGAGCTTAATCCTTGTACTCCTAGGCTGTCAGTGTCTTGAATTTCAATATGATTTCTTTGGATCCTGATTTTCTTGATCTTAAAGGGAGTCGGTAACGAATAGAGGTCCTGTGCACTACTATCAAATAGGATTTTGATGAAAATCATTCACCTGCAATGTTTCAGTGCTTATACTACTCTGGTGTTAATGTTGTCAAATTGGGTAGCACCAGCTAACGATAACCTCTTTGATATTCGAAATTCACATGCATAGAGCTCTTAGTAGTGAGGGGTGCTCTAGGCAGCTAATTTTGTTTCTTAGATGTAATTAAGAATTTAAAATTAGCACCTGTAACAAGTTAAGCTGTGTTTCAGCTACTGTCTGTATAGGTGCAATCTCTGATAGTTACCATGCAAAGAAGTTGCTTGATTTCTATTCTGGTCTTGATGTTATAAAGCAGAACTAGGGCTTATCATTTTTCGTGCAACTTTTCTTCTTAGAAAATCTCCCTAGGAAACACCATACACAACTTTTATCTAATTCTACCTTTTACACTCTTATGCAACTGCTTTCATCTCTGTGAACTTAATTCTATTTAAAGAGAATGCTAAATGGACATAAAAAGATACTTCCTTAAGCTTCTTGATCTACTTACTTTTCAGTATGGGAAAGACTACGAATATGATGCACCTGTCAAGTTGTTGGTCAAGCATTTGCATTCAATGGCGGAATCACCTGATGAACAGCTGGTGGTTGTATCACAGGTTATAAGTTCTTCCCGTGTTCGTGAAATCTCTGTTCTGATACGAGTGAAGTATTCATTTATAGCTCCATAAAGAACTATAGTTTCTTTTATCTCCTAACGTGACTGCATGCATTGAACCCTTGCAGGTGCTTGTGGCAGATATCAATATCGGTTATGAAGATATTGTCAATACGCAGGTAACAGAGAAGTTCTGGATCCATTTGCATGTGTTACTTTTGTTGATTCTAGCAGTTCCCTCCAGACATTTTGCATTTTTTGCTGCTGAAGTATATATACTGACGCACTGGAATTCTGCCAGCCTCCTACTCTTTACCCATGCATATATAATATATTGATGCAGTGTTATTACCTTTAAATATATATTTCTGTAGTGAAGCTTGAAGTCTAATATATTTGTCAGATAGGCGTTCTCAGTGTTATGTTGTCATCACAGTTCCTCTTTTTTTTCGACAGTTGATTCTGAAACCTAATGATCAACACTGCATGTAGGCTATGACTTCTCTGCTTTAGTTTGGTGAGGGGTGACTAAAAACCCTTTATTGTCATCTTGTTGATAGGTCCTTGACGTTAATTGTCTTCCTGTGAAAAAATTGTCAGATAGGCGTTCTCAGTGCTATGTTGTCATCACAGTTCCTCTTTTTTTCGACAGTTGATTCTGAAACCTAATGATTAACACTGCATGTAGGCTATGACTTCTTTGCTTTTGTTTGGTGAGGGGTGACTAAAACCCTTTATTATCATCTTGTTGATAGGTCCTTGCCGTTAATGGTCATCCTGTGAAAAATCTGAAGGACTTAGTGACAACAGTGGAAAATTGCAAGGATGAATTCTTGAAGTTTGATTTGGAGTATGACCAGGTAAGCCCTGATTTCTTTATTTGTGTATTTCTGTTGTAAACATCTGTCACACCCCATGTTAACTAAGTCCCTGGGTAAACGCAGATTAGTGGTCAGTTTTTCTGAAATTCTACCAGTACTTCGTCGTGATTAATCAGAATTTCTCAGTAACGCTACAAAGATCAAGCAAGTTGGAAGATAGTGTTGACAAGTAGCCTCATACTGGATGTCAATTTCTAGTTTATGTATCTTTGCAGCTTTACTTGAGCTAATACCCTCTTTTAAGAATATATGTAGCTGACTTTTTCTGTGCTAAAATCCCCTTGGTCTCTTCTAATTGATGATGCGGGGGTGTTGTTGTCGTGACATAACAATAATAACAAAAATAATTAGTGATGGCAAGGCATGATAGCTCTTCTTTTCTTGCAAAATCAACGATAGCAAGGTCCCTGTGTTAATGCGGGATGTAATCAAGTAACCAATTTATATGATTTGACAGATCGTTGTCCTGGAGACAAAAACCGCGAAGGCTGCTACCGAAGACATTCTGACAACGCACTGCATCCCGTCGGCCATGTCTGATGACCTGAAGGCCTAATGGAGAACAAGATGCGGCTGTCTGGTGGCCCCGATCGGGGTCACTTTTTTTGGGGTTGAACACCAGCCCGGCACCGGGCAGAAGCCTGAGCTTATGCATCCAGACCCTCTGGGGCTCCTGGGTGTGAGAGAGCTTCACCAAAGAAGGCTGAGGGTAAGTGGGCGTCACATCAGCATAAGCTGGAGCGCTGTCCAGCATTAGTCATCATGAAAGTGATAGCGGTTAATTGATAACAATGGTTTCATTTTTTTTCAAAATTAAATTAAATTATTGAGGGGGAAAAAGTTCATATTTTTGCCTCAGCCCCCACCGAAAAGTCCAATACACCATCGTCACCAGTTACAACAATTTATCAATGATATATGTTCCCATCTGCTCCCTCGTTTCCTCATTTGTCTGCTGGGTGCATGAGGTGGATGCCGGCCGTTTCGGCTTCGTCTTGTCATGCTGCGTTACTCGGAGGAGCTCGCTTCCAGCTCAATCAAGTGTAGTTGCTTCCCTTGAGCGTCATGCTTTTCTTGGCTGGTGGCTCGTCCCGTCCCCACGCCTTTATTTTGATATATACAGGCCGGTAAGCCCAACCGATGAGGAAAATACGCCACGGTTTTTTGCGTGGTTCGTTGTCGTCCTGGTCAGCTCCTGCTGGTGTATCTTTTTCTCTGTGTGAGAGAGGATCAACAAGATTGGGATGGCTGGTACGGCAGCATGGCCACTGCCTCGTTTGGTTCACGAGTTGGGTCAGCTGTTCACAGTTTTGTGGTCCTGGCTTGTCTGCTGCATTGACTGGGAAACGAGACGTGGATTGGTTGGCTGGCCGCGAAGGCGAAGGCTCAGGCTCGGTCTCATCAGGTACGTGTACTGCACCCACTTTCCCCAAGGTTGAAGCACTAGTACTGGCCTGGTAAATAAAAGCCATAATAAAAGGGCGGGAGCGGCCGGTTGTTGCGCCAACATTTTACACCGTACCAGTGGTTGAACTGGACCGAGTACCCCCGCTCCTGCCTGCTCGAGAATAGCTAGTACCGAGCGCCTCCCATTTCGCCACCATAGATAGCAGCAGTACATAGTAGAACCGTGGAAATCGCAGGAATGCCATCAAGGCGAGCAATTCGCCCATCTTGAAGAAGGCGAACATGGCGCAGACGTACGTACGTACTCCCACCCACTCCAACCAATGTTCTTCTCTTATAAAAACGAAACGCGATACTTTTGACGGCCAGGGGGGAAAAGGAGTCTGCTTCGTCTAGGGTTTTAGCGATGGGCGCCCTTCCACCGCCGCCGCCAAAACCTGCCGACGGGAGCGAATCGGATCGCCGGGAGGAATCCTTTCGGGCCACGATTCCGATGTACACGGTGTCTACGAGTCTAAGCCGGCCCTTTCAGGAGTCCGAACACGCCACGTTCTCAAGGCGCACGACGGGGACGGGGGATACAAAAACCCTAGACCCTGATCGCCGCACCACACAAAACCAGGGGAAGCCTGCAAAACCTCCAGATCACATCACGTCTCAGAGTCGCCGCAAGGAGGAGATGTCGCAGATCAATCCAAAGGCGAAGGGCGGGGGTGATCAAGGCGGATCCGGTGAGGATCTCGCTCACCCGAAGCCCCTCGGCGATGGAGCGATCGTGGCGTCTAGGAGAGCGGACTCACATGAGGCTTGGGAGGAGGATACGCCGGAGAATAGCAACTGGGACGGACCAGCAACAGACGGAGTTTTGCCGGAGGGAGTGGAAGAGCAACTTGCAGGTGAGGTGGACATGGACGATGTTGCTTTCGTTGCAGTTGATCTGGATGATGATGAGGAGGAGGTAGAAGAGGAAGACAAACCCAGATGGAGATTGATGGGGCTTTACAGATCGCAGCGGAGACCAAGCACAAAAACCTTATCTGGGCACTTTGAGAAAATTTGGCAACTGCGTACGTGGGTCGAGTTTAAGCCAGTTAAGAACAACTACTATATCATATCTCTGTTCTCGGAGGGAGACTTTAGGTTTGTGGCAGAGGGGGGCCTTGGATATATGATGGTGATGCTCTGCTAGTCATCCCTTTCAATGGTGATGAGCAGCCCTCTGAGACTACGCTTGAAGCTGTCTCGGTTTGGGTCCGAGTGTTTGATGTGCCATGGAAGAAGCAAACTAGGGTTTATGGAGAAGCCTTGGGAGGAACCCTGGGTGAGGTGTTGGAGGTGGATGTTCCACAGGTGGGCCATGGGACTCAGGAATTCCTAAGGGTGAGGGTGAAGCTGCTATATAATAGAAGATTGCAGAAGGAGGTGACGCTGGAGTTTAATGCAAAGGGCACCACTAAACGGCTGAAATTCCAGTTAAAGTATGAACGGGTACCGCATTTTTGCTTTCACTGTGGGTTCATGGGACATGATAAGGAGGCGTGCGAGAAGAAGAGGGTTGGGTTACCCACCAAGGCCTATGACTCTACGCTGAGATGCTCCCCGTTCAAAAAGTTTGATCGTAGAGCTGTATTCACGCCATCACCAGGACAACCACGAGCAAAACGGAGTATGGACTTCTCTTTGGGGAGTGCGTCGTCGGCTACGCGCTCACAAGCATCGGGGAATGCCAGGGGAAGAGGCGAGGGCTCACATGAAATACCAACCAGGGTGGACGCTATGGATGGTTTTGAGGAAAATGAGGCGACGGCACTGCAGGAGGAGGATGACCAATTGGCAGACCATGTTGAGAAAATGCAGCTACGGCTGGGCACGGAGCAACCTGAGTGCAGCAAATTGCAATACCTGAAACAACAGTTTGAAGCACAGGAGCATGAAGCGGGAAAAGGATCTGTGAGACCGCGGAAGAAGAAGATAACATCACAGCCGAAAAAATCTGCTGCAGTTAAGAAGAATGGGGCGCTTGTGATCCGTGACAAGCCAAGGGGAGAGGATATGATACCGGCTTTGTGGGGGCTGGATACGCTCCAGGTCTCCTTTGGTAGCGCGGTGGACTCCATGGATTACAATGACTCCATTCTGGGGAAATGACATCTAACCGGGGGCCTTCCAGTTCAGGTTATGGTGCCCGATGGCAAGGGAATGATGCCGTATGAAGAAGGGACAGAGGGGGGCAAGCAGAAGAAAGGAAAAAAGGAACGGCCGGAAACGGAGGATGATGCATGCAACACGGGAAGGGGGGGAATTTAGAGGCAACTAGCCATGGGGCCGCTAGTAAACTGACGGGGCCAGCAGTGGCGCCCCGTCAGGAACAATGAATTGCCTAGTGTGGAACTGTCGGGGGGCGGGGAACCCTCGTACAGTTCGTGATTTACAGGCTCTTTGTAGAGCCAATTCCCCGAGGATGGTGTTTCTGTGTGAGACTAGGAATCAGCTGCAAAAGATGAAAAGGTTGCGAAGTAGGCTTGGGCTTCGTGGTTTTGAGGGCATAAGTAGTCAAGGAAAGAGTGGTGGCCTAGCTTTGTTTTGGGATGAGTCCATGTATGTCAGCATTCAGGACGTTAATGAGAGGTGGATTGATGTTTTTGTCAGGGTGGCTCCCTCGGAACCTCTTTGGCGAGTGACCTTTGTGTATGGAGAACCGAGGGTGGAAAACAGACATCTTATGTGGGAGAGCTTGTGTAGACTAAGGAATACTTCTGAGTTGCCTTGGTTAGTTACCGGTGATTTCAATGAGGCGCTATGGGACTGTGAACATATGTCCATGACGGCGAGGCCGCAAGCCCAGATTATAGCCTTTCGGGACTGTCTTGAGGTGTGTCAGTTGGTGGACCTAGGCTTCTCAGGCTATCCGTTCACATACGATAACAAACGGAGCGGTCGGGCTAACGTGCAGGTGCGTCTGGATAGAGCGGCAGTGGACAATGCCTGGCGAGATATGTTCCCGGAGGCGACGGTGCTCCACCTGACGTCGCCCCGATCAGACCATCGACCGCTTCTCCTGCGGTGCGCACAAGATACACAGGTGAAGATGGCAAAGGCGAGGCGCTATGAGGTTATGTGGGAGCGTGAGGCCTCCCTGGCAGAAGTGGTAGAGGCGGCTTGGGCTGCTTCGGGCGTGAAAAATGACTTGGGAGGCGTGAGCAAAGCCCTCAAAGCAACAATGTTGAGACTACATGAGTGGAGCAATACGAAAATTGGCAATGTGACAAGAGAGATTGAGAAGTCCAGGACGAGGCTAGAGGAACTGCACAATATGAATGCCGACCGTAGTGAGATACGGAAAGAGTCTGATCATATGGATGAACTCTTGTACAAGGAGGAGATGATGTGGCTGCAACGATCTAGAATGGAGTGGCTGAAACATGGAGATCGGAACACAAAGTTCTTCCATAGGAAAGCAAGATGGAGAGCCCGGAAAAACAAGATCAAGGGATTGCGGGATGACTTGGGAGTCCTTCAACCGGAGCAGGCTGTAATGTCAGGTATGGCCATGAGTTACTTTCAGAATCTGATTGAAGCTGATCCTAGTTTACTCCCTCATACAGTGGTAAACCTTTTTGATCCGGTCATTACAGAGGAGATGAATGCCAAACTGTGTGAAGCCTTTTCGGACAAGGAGATTAGTGATGCACTATTTCAGATTGGGCCTCTAAAGGCACCTGGGCCGGACGGTTTCCCGGCGAGGTTTTTTCAGCGTCATTGGGGCACAGTGAAAGATGACATTATTGCCGCAGTCAAACAATTTTTCTTATCGGGGGTAATGCCGGAGGGGGTAAACAACACCACCATCGTGCTCATCCCAAAGGTTGACGACCCCCAACGTTTATCCGAGTTTCGGCCCATTAGCTTGTGTAACGTGATTTACAAGATCATCTCCAAGTGTTTGGTGAACCGGTTGCGACCACTACTTGGCGATATCATCTCTGAGGAACAGAGCGCTTTCGTCCCTGGAAGACTCATTACGGATAATGCGTTCATTGCCTTTGAGTGCACTCACTATATTAAACCGGAGAAGGACCCTGATAAAGCTTACTGTGCTTACAAGCTAGATCTGTCCAAGGCGTATGATCGTGTAGATTGGACTTTCCT